GACCGTGGAAGGCAGCAGCAGAATCAGGTCCCATTAGGGGACTTGGCTTGCCACCCCCAGAAGGGTGCCGGACCCCTCCCCGCCCCAGAGGGGACCCGGCAGCTCCGCAGGGCAACGCAGCTGAGTCACACGCCTTCCCACAGCACCTGCCCCGCATTCCATGGGGATTAGCACTGCCACCTCGCCGCTGTCCCAGCCCGACCACAACCCCAGGGCAGCTGGGGAGCGGGGACATGAGTGGTGCTGTGACGCCTGTGAGGGACATCGTGGGCCCTGGCAAATGGGGCAAGAACGGGCTGGAGGAGGGGACACTAACGCAAGAGCTGTTTCAGCAGTTTCCCCCCCCCCAGGGCAGCTGGGAGCGGGGACATGAGTGGTGCCTGTGACGCCTGTGAGGGACATCGTGGGCCCTGGCAAATGGGGCAAGAACGGGCTGGAGGAGGGGACACTAACGCAAGAGCTGTTTCAGCAGTTTCCCCCGCTCCTTGGTGGCAAAAGAGGAACCAGCGGCCGCATGTGCTCTGCCCGCAGGAGCTGGCTCTCCTCCCCATGCCTGTCCAAGCCTGAAACAAACTCCTGCTGCGAGAAGTGGGCAGGGACACAGAGATGGGGACTTTCCAGAGCCTGTGCCCATGCCACAGCTCAGGCCCTGCCCAGCCTTTGCTAAGAGGGGTCTGTACCAGGGCACCAGGTCCCTGCCTGCTGTGGCTGGGTCCCCAGAGCGAGGAACGCTCCCTGCCCAGGGGAGAGCCACCTACAGTGCCAAACCCAGCAGCACCCGAGCAGGGGCTGGGCCACCACCCCACACCGTGACCACGGCGCTTGCATTTTCCAGGCAGGAGAGGGAAGGACAGGCCGTGTCTGCACGCAGCGGCCAGGGGATCCCAGGCACGGCCACAGCAGCCCCAGGAGCTTGCAAGAAGAGATGCTCCACCAGAACCCTCCTCTAGCCCCCAGGCTGGGAGGTGACACGTCCAAAAGGCAGCGACACCAGTCCTGCCTCACTGGAGAAGAGCGATGGGGCGAGCCTGTGCCACCGGCCACGGCGGGACGCGCACACAAGCCCGTGCCCATCGCGAGGCTAGACACACATGCTGGTACTCAGACAGTGCTCCGCTAAGCCCCGGTGCAAGCAGCTGCAGATAAAGAGATGGAGGCAGAGCCAGCGCTGAGCTCCAACACTTCCCAGTCCTGTTAGTGCCAACCAAGCCGGCTTCAACTGCC